AAAAGTTTGAAGGGGAATGAAAACAGCCCCCAGTAAAATACAGGCAACTGGACCTGAGTTACATTTTCTTCCAGCGCTGCAATACAGCAACTAACTTTGACTTCAGCAGACCAGCAGAGAAATAGAGAGAGAGGGAGAGGGAAAACAAACTGCAAATAAAAATACAACCCAAACCGCTGCTCCTGATCTATTTCTGCTCCCTAATCTCATAAGTGACTCTCTCTTGGAAGAGCAATCCTTGTTGCACCGGTGTTGGTAACTCCAGCCTCTCAGAGGACCAATACTTCTGTAAATCCCACAGCGGCGAGGCTGTCTGTGCGACTGGTAATGGGACTTTTAAATGACTACCACCAGCTACCTGCGCTGCACACCTCACTGCTGCACAACACATTATCAGGAGATTATCCCCCGGCGTGGAGTGAATTCTTATCTTTTCATTGCAGTCGGGATTATTTTTGCTTGCTGTTTCGAAGGCACAGGTGGGAGAGTTGGTGATGTAATGAAAGTCCAAGCAATTAAATTAGAAACTCCAAAATGGAGGTTTATATTAATACATTATTCTACACGCTCTGTAAGTTCAGATTTATTACTTTTTTCATCCCATGACTCAGTGAACTGGCACGACTGCAGCAGAACTTCTGTACCGAACCAAAAAGCGTCTCTCCAGCAGCAGCATATCAGACTTCACAGGTGACACACATGTCCTCCTAATTTCCACAGCAGCAGTAATATGGCAGCCAAACCCACTCCCAATCAGCCAGAAACCAAATGAAGAACAGTTTGAATTTGTGTATTTATCAACTCCTGTTGCACATGTGCATTCTTGTGTGTGCTGCACACGAGAAGAGATTCTAAAGTCCCAATAGATGTAATTATTTTTCACCAGCATGCTCTTATCTCTGCATGAGTATGGAGGTATTTCTTATTATTCTGTCTGTTACGTAGCATGTGTCTGAGGAAACAAACACAAGGACAAAGTACGGTGCAGAAAGACACAAATCTCTGCACTTCTGTGGTTTTCATTTTTTGGCTGAAGGAGAACTCTTCAGAACATTTTTTTTCTTAAAAGCTACACTTTTTGGTAGTTGAAGGTGAGCGGAGGAGTGCAGAAAATACCAGCGGAAGAAAAATAAAAAAAAGAAGCTGCAGTGCAGCAAGCTTACAGTATCAAGGGGATCGGTTCAAGTCGCTGGAACAAACACAATCTTTCATCCTGTTCGGGAGCAGGCGTCTGAATTAACTCCATGTGTGGCATGACTGCCTATCAGGTTGGCAGGCATGGGGCTCGTGTGCCGAAGAGTGGGATGGGATTCACCCCAAGAGGCGCGAGATGACACGATCAATTACATCAGCTAAAGCCTTGCAGAAGGTGTTAAAAAGCGCTTTGTGAGAGCTGCACCTGAATGAAAGCAGCCGAGCGATGCTCTGCCGCTGCCATGGCTGCCATTCAGCACCACGGACAACACCCAGCCTGCAGCGGCGGCGCCTCTTCACCCATCAGACGTGTCTTCTTAACCCATTAGTCCAACAGGTTTAACTAAAGAGACGTCTGATGAACAGATCCGCTCTCCACACACTCTCATATTGAATTTGGAAAACTGAGACGACGCAGGAGGCCGTCGGTTTGAATGTTATAGGAAAAACATTAACACAGTGGGGGGGATTTAGTCCAGACTCTATGCAGCTGTTTTATGGTTTCTTGGTTTTCGCCTTAACCTCATTTGAAATAAACAGTTTGCATGTCATCAGGACGAGAAAGGTTGTGTGTCTTGTTTAGAGAACTCTTGCATAACGGGATTTTCCCTTGGTCAAATAGCAGTAAATAATTTAATATCCTGGTAAATGATGAACGACCTGAACCAGAGTGTGTGTGTCCACTGATAAGTTACCAACTTCAGTGAAAAGCTTACTTCCCAAACCTCAAAGTCTGTTGTTTTAGATCAGGTCAGAGGTGTACTAAATGTCACATCATTCCCAAACTGCTCTAATTAAGAAAACTTCACTTAAACCTGATCAACTAAAGAAAGAAAATAAAAAGTGACAACTAAAGTGAAACAAATGGAGGTAAAAGTCAGAGAAATCCAGACGTTGTGTGAAAACAGTTATTTCTGCCTCCATTAAGCCTCTTAATTCCAGAGACTCTGAAATTAGTTTTTGTTTTCTTACATTTCTTTCTTTTTCCCTAAATTTTTCAGAATTTTATGTTTAGTAATGTAAACACATGACTTGACTTGTCATTAGACAGTGTCATTATCCACAGTTGTAAGTGTTTTGGTTCTGTTTTTGCTGTGATTCATGTCTCTTGATCTTGGTGAACTGGTTTCTCTCCTGTTTCCGGTTTTAGACTCATGTTGTCGTTCTCTCTCAGCTGTTGGTTAGTTGGATCCTCTGTGTTTCCATTCAGTTTCTCCTGAACCTCTTATTCAACTTTTCCTAAGTTCCCTGCTTGGTTTCTCCCCACAAGGTTAGATAATTAATCCAGGACTGATAAACAGAATGTGTGTTATGCCATATTGTTACTGTATGTGATGTGATTGTGTTGATTTTATTTTTAAATTATTTTCAGGGTTTTAGTTTTATTTGGCATTTTCACAATTCCAGGCTTTTTGTTAATTCATTTTGTCAAGTTATTTTCTCAGTTTCTATGTTTCACTACTTCTGCATTGGGCCCTGTTTTCTTTAAATCTAGACGTTTGCGTTATTAAACCTTTGCTGTCCTTGAGCCTTCCTTCCTCCTGCCTTTAGTCGAGTTCACAAAACACGCAAACATGTTAGAGACATTTAGAGTTCAGGAAAAATCATTTTGGACAAACAGAGAAATTTCAAGAATACTCAACCCTTTTCTTAAATAAACCTACTACTGGACAATAGTTGCCTTCCTATTTGCACCACTGGAGGTGTAAATTGTTGTTGACAACAATATATTAGTCTTGTGGTTAAATAATAATGGTTTCCCTGAGGGTTTGTGTGGGTTAATTACTTGGCTGCTACAACAGATAACAACAATACAAAGTGGGACGTGCTGACCTGGACATTTCTCCATAAGCAGAGGAACCAAACAACTGGGGATTTGTTCATTTAGTTTGTATGAGAAACTAAATCTTACCATGTTTGTAATCTAAATTGTTTATTAGAGTGAAATTAGAAAGTAATCAATCCCTCAGACAAGCTGTTTGCATTTTCCCTAAAAGTCACACTGCATTTCTCCCTTATATGATGCATTCGTTTCACAGAAAACCTCAGCCAAAGGGAAACAGAAAACACTTATAGATTTTCTTCCTCACACTTTCTCATTCTTACTCCACTCCTTCTTTGCTATCAAAACTGTGATGAGGCTGAAGCTGAGTAACACTTCACAGCCCAGCTAGACTCAGAAAGAGATTGACTAGAGGAGACAGACTGAGAGGCCATGGAGATGAAGGAATCAGGGTCAGACCAGAGAAAGTGAGACAAAAGAAAGAAGAGGAGGGAGTTGGATAATGAGGACCCACTGAGCAGAGTGTCTCACTGCTGGTGTATTTTACATTTCACATCATATTTCATTCCTACTGTCAGATTCCTGGGTTTGATATTCTACCCAGGGCAGACAGATTGACAGATTATTTTTCATCAGCCACACATTTCCTTTCCAGCTCCCACAACTGTAAACCTCTGCGTAAATGACTGCCATAAATCCTGCTAAAACCCACATATACTTCTGCCATATTCCTGGTGACAGCTGATTATTTCTGCAGTGTGTGTTCACAGCTACTCTGTATTAATCTGGAATCAATGAGCATGTCACCGGTGTGTGTGTGTGTGTGTGTTAATTCAGATGATCCGCAGTGATAACAAAGGAGTCGTTAAATAGCTAGACAAACTGAAATGAATACACTCACTGAGCACTTCTCACCCAACATTGACACCAATTTATGGATTTATTTTTTATAATTTGGAAGATAATCTCTGCAGTTTTAGTCGCAGAGTTTATTCAAAAAATATTTGCTAATTAAATTGAAAAGTTTTTATGTCTAAATACGTAAGACACAAAATGTGCTGGATTAAATTATGCAAATAGTGGGAGAAGTGTTAAAAACTTTTTTTTTGTCTAATATCCATTCTTCAACCACTTTTAAATTGGAACTTGGAGAGAGATTCATTTCTCTCAGTTCTGTAGGAAAACATAAATGTACAGTAGACTTGGAGACTTAGAGTCACAGGGTTGGTAAAGGGTCTGGAAACTTCATAATTACATGAAAACTTGTTCCAATATGTTCTTTGGAGTTCACAGCTTGAGAGTCATCATGGAAAATAAAACTGTGGACAGAGCAGGAGCTTTTCAATGTGTTTAAAATCCTGGGATTAAAGGTCTAAGATGCAAATTCCCAAAACTGAAATAATATTTACATAACTATCCTCCATCCATGCAGAGGTTTCTGTCTCATCTGAAAAGGGAATAGGCTTTTATTCATTTTGTCATTAACAGCTAGCCTCCATATGCTAACAGAGAGCAATGGGAGACGTCTACCATGTTCTCCGGTTTTACATCAGTTGCCAGAACTGCCCCATATTTATTTTTCGGTAACATATTTAAACTCTGGGATAAGAGGAAAAGTGATTCAGAAAGAAAATCAGTGACCTGCCCTGCCGTCCCACCTGAGTGAAGGTATGAATGGTTATATTTCAGGCAAAAGAACAAAAAAGAGAGCTATAAACCAGTGTTGTGGATTTCATTTGATGTAATGTCACCTTTTGTGATTTTTTTAATTATACTATGCAATAGTATAATTAAAATTTGTTGGGGTTTTATACGTTACTCCTCTAGATCCACTTTGAAGTAGGATGCTTATTATCAAACCTTTTGAGAAACAAAGACTCATTTCCTGTGAGCAAATGGCATCACAATGAGGATGATTGATAATGTAAACCTTGTTGCAGTTCAAGTGGCACAACTGATGTTTCCTTTAATTGGAAGAACAATTCCTGTACCTACAAGCTGTAAAACATGTCACCCAGAAACCTCTGCAAAAAAAATGTTGCTTTTATTCACACAACCATTTTACCAAATAACTGGATGTTTCTATCTGGGTTTCACTCTAAACTATCATTTGCCTTTGGAACTCTTGAGCAGTAGCTTTGTTCTGGAATTACTTTCTTCATCATTGGTGCGAGTTAAGCTATTCAGAAGTCCTCATTCAGATTTGACCTTCACATCCTGTAAAATGAAGCGTTCCTCCAAGGCAGCCCGTCTCATAGAGGAACATGCTGTGACTCCTTTATGAAAGCATCCTGCACAGTCCGGCACAATCAGGTCAGCCGAGAGACGAGCTCCGGTTCCAAGGGATCAAATGTGAGATTAGACTAGAAACAGCTCCAGGTAGCATCAGTCAGACTGTCACACCTGGACCTGAAATAACGAAACAAAAAGTGTTCTGGCATGTGATTTATCTTTAACCAGAACCTTAGGATTTATTCTACTGCAGGGAGGGAAACTCTATGACCACCAAAAGTGTGTTTATCAAGACTAATAAAATAAGCAGTTGTCACGGTAGATACGGGCTTTCATCTCAGGGTGGCATGGTCAGAGGGGCGCATGAAAATGTTACTTTTTAGCTGCTCTGTTACATATCATATTTGCTGTTATTGTTTCCTACACTACACATTTATCTGAAAGTTAAATGTTCAGATAACTTTTCATTTGTGTGAGGTAGTGTCATCATTGGGTCAACAAAGGTGGAAAGAAGCAGCATCAGCAGCCTTCACTGTAAAATCATGTCACCAAGTAATCTTGGCCTAAACATTAAACATTCAAAGCTTCTCTTTGTGATAAAATGTCAAGTAGTCTATTTTACAATGTATATATATATATATATATATATATATATATATATATATATATATATATATATATATATATATATATATATATATATATATTTAAATTGTAATTTATGTCTATAATAATCTAAGTTTACGTCAGATTAATATTTTTTAGCTCTTGTTGCATCTTGACGGAATATTCCAGGTGACTGCATGTGTTCATTTACATCAGGACCTGTTGATAAAAACAATCAATTTAAATTCTAATAAAGTATGTAGATGTAAAAATATCACATGTTGATGTCATCCTAAATAAAAACTAAAATGAACACAAATGACAGCAGCAGCCTGGGTCATCAGGAGGCAGGCAGCTGCACACTGAGCTCATCCTTCCTGGTTTTTATGGCTCATATCCTTCCTAATGTGTCCAGACCACAACATCAGCATCATCCTAATCACTCCACTTCTCTCTGCTTACTTTTAAGCAGAAAGCCATTCAACTGCCATAATAACTTCTTCCTGTTGTGCTTCACCTTAAGCAAGTTTTCAGCTACATCCGTTTCAGTGTCAGAACATTGTGCATTCAGCTGGTGCCAGAGTCTTAATTTTTGATGAGAATCCATTGATATTGATATACTGAGAGAGACTCAGTGCTATAGATAAGGTATTTAATTTGCAAAGATGGAGAACATGTTTTTAAAACATTAAAACCATATTTTGAGCCTGCAGAAAGAAGCTTTTTTTCTGCTGGGTGTAGAAATAAAAATAACCACTCTCATAATTTCTGCATGAAATTATTTCTCTGAACTCTGAATTAAATTTTATGCCTGAGGCTTCAGAACCATTTTTAATGGGAACCCCTCTGGGTTGTTCCACCATTGTCCTCCTTTCTGATCCCTACCATCTTCTTTCTGTGCTCAAGTTGTTTCTCCCTTCAAGATAAAAACAGAGACAAGACTTTGGTTGAAAACAGACATCAATCTAAACCGCCTGAATGTAAACTCGGGTACATTTTGGGTACGAAAAGCCAAAATTTACCTGCAGCTTTTAGTCCTATGTGACCTCAGAGCTGAAGGATAAAGTAAAATGTTAAACTGTAACTTCAAAGCATGTCTGTGTGAAGCAGTTACAGCATTTCCTTTGAAGACAGGCAATGACTGATAAAAGACAAAAAAGAGACTAAAGAATTTAATACTTAAGCAGAAACCCAAATGATCTTTCAGCCTTGTACCGGCAAGAAAACTGTGCTGAAATCAGCAGCTTGTTCAATTTGGGGATGAATACATTTAAATCAAATTAAATCCTAAATTATTTACCTGATGCTAAGTACATAGGAGGGAATGTGTTAGCTACCATCATTTTAGCTGGTTTTGGTTTTGGTCTATATGTTGCTCTGAAAATCTGATTAGTTCAACTTTCCTTTATTTAGAGGATTTATTGAGGTTAATTAAAAGTAGAAGCACTGTTTGAGCTTCTGTCATGCATTTTATCCACCGGAGATATTTTCAGTCCTAAAAAAATGTGTTTTGATGGTATTAAAATAATTCTAAGTTTTAAAGTTTTGTCAGTTTGCAAAGCCTGTTTTATTGAGCTTTTTTGTAAAGAAGGCTGAGGGGAAACCTGAACCACGGGGAGCAATCAGCGCGTGTCTACTTGAGACTTTGGCAGCTCTGGTTAGTATGGAGATTGGGAGCTGGAGGTTAAATGAGGAGACAGCCTTTCCTTTTGGGTAGAAAAAAACAGGGATCTGCCTTGGCTTCTGACTATCTGAAATATTAACAAGGCTGGGGACTGTGCAGCAGCTGCACACCCCTGGCCTCTGCATAACATTGAGACACAAAGGCTGCATGAAAACGAGGCTGTAAAGAGAAGAAACAAGAAAAAAAAAACTGAGTGGGGAAGAGAGTGAGTGATGGATATTACAATAAAAATTACTTTATTTGTGCAGAAAAAAATAGAGTAGTGACTGAACTGAACAGGTTACTAACATTAAATGTTGAATAGATTTCTTGTGCCAAGTGTAGTGCTAAGCAGAAAATCAATCAGTAATTTAAAGCTGATTATAATTTAGTGCAATGTCTGCATGAGTCACACTGAGCTCATATTTTTGTTGCACTTTGATGCAACTATCTTGTAACCCGAGCTGGCACCAGGAAAAAGCAAACGTTCAGGAGTGTCAAAGTTTCCAGGAGCACAAACGGCTTTTAAATCCACACAGGTCACATTTCTGCAGGAATCAAATGAATAGAAACTAAGGAAAAATTTCAGAATATTAGAATTATATCAAAGGAAGATGTAAATATTCATACACTAATCAGGCCGAGGCCAACTGCCATCTTATTTTAACTTGGTCTGATTCATTATTTTTATTTCAAAGATTGTGACAAAAAGTTCTGAAGGTTCTTTAAAAGGGATCATTCTTAATTCTACAAAATTAGGAAGATTAAATGTTATTCCCTTCGATGTTTTCCAACCAAAACGATGCTGAAGTTTTAATATGCTAGATCCATTTTTTTTAGCATTTGATTCTGTTCCCAAGTAATATGCAATCAACTGGCTCACATGACTTTGAGGTGACCTTGCTCTCGTTGGATGCATGAGGACAGAATATTCTGATTACTCTCATAAAATCTGCAGCGACTCTGATTTGCATTTTTACCAAACTAAATGTCAGTAGTATTGTGAACTCCAGAGGAGAAATGTAGCAAAATATGGAGCCATAACTGTGTCCACAAGTACGAACAAAATTTACATTGCAGCTTCATTATTTTCTGGAGTGAATAAATCACAACTTGAACTTGCTTTCTGCATATCTCACAATTTTTCTTGTTTTCTTTCAAATTTGATTTTCTCCTCAGACCAGCTAAGGTGAAATAAAGCAACTAAGTAGTCTGATATCTCAGTAAAGAAAGCAGTCAGGGCTCGGGATGCTCTGGAGAGGAAAGGTCTTCTCATGTATACAAGGAGACGGGGCCAAATGAGGCCAGTTGATTGCTATTCTCACATGTGGCATCGTGCAGAGAAAGACAAGGCCAGTGCCAAAAAAAAATCTATACACGGCAAAGAGAGACTGAAGCTGTGTGTGTGTGTGAAAGAGAGAGAGAGGAGAGAGAAAAGTACACAAGGAGACATGGGCTGAAATTCTGCAGAGATTCATTCTCTGGTCCTCCCAATCACAAAACACACACACACATCTTCACACACTCATATTGTCACAAAGCCATCCCATTCTTTTCAAAGATGATTTAAAAAGAGATTAATACAGAGAGGCTGATTTCTCTGCAGTCTCCCGTTGCCATGGTGACATGGAATTTTGTCACTTCCTCCCCCCCTCCATCTCATGGTCACATCATCAAATCAACACGTAGGTTCAGTCCCGAGCGCAAGGACAAGCTAACTCTATGCCTTTTACTTTCCCTGCAGGTTACAGTGAAACGAAGCGTTGAGTCGCAATGTTGCCGTTTTTCAGTTTGCTTAATTGTTAAACCGTGAAGTGAAGACAAAAACTGGAGTTTTGAATTGAAAAATGGAAGAAATTTGTTGGCTTGCTTCACAGGATACAATTTACCATAAAAACACTGGAACAACAACAAGGACACGCCTGTTATCTCACCTTTTGTCTCGTCTCCTTTTGCTGCCGTTACTTTTGGGCAAAGACAAGTTGGATGCAGAAAGAGGCATATTGAATAGAGGTTTTTATTCAATATGACAAACGAGCCTCGTTTGAATATGATTGTAAATATTTGTCATACTGAAGCATCATCTTGGAATATTTCATGTCTTCCTTGGCTTACACAAAAGGGCTGATGGAGCTTTAAAGAGGAATGTTGATAATATGAAAAGAAAAATGGTATTCTAAGTGAATAAGAACTAAAATTGTCCTGGAGCATTAGAGGTAACGAAATGTAAAGCAACAAAAAGCTCTTTTTTTTCACCTGAGAAAGCAGGTTCACTTTTGCCTTTCTTATATTTTCATTTCAGAAACTAAGAATTTTACAACCTTGAAAAAGCACCACATCATTTTTTACGAGTTTCATCGCACAACCTCCCCGCTGTAAAATTTAACAAAGGCTTTCTTAGGACCTGGACTTCTTAAAAGCTTAAAACACAGTTATTCAGTGTTTCCTGAGGAGAAATAAATGTGTTTAAGATCTTTTCAGAGATCGCATCAAACCTGAGATTAAGTCTTTATATTTACCGACATGCCAGCCTCATTTTTAGGAGTACATGATGATCTTTCTGCTGTGGTCTACGCTCAAGCTTAGACGATAATTATTAGGCAATTTGTTGTGTTTGAACACAACCAATACATACATTACCAAGTTTGTAAAATGTAAAACTAGCAAATCAGGGCCTGTATTTAATACTCCATGAAGCCCAGTTGGATTTAACCTCTAAAGCATAAACATCTCTGCAGGTAAAACTCCAGACTCAAAGTTACTGCCCTGCCTGTTTCTCATTACTTCCAGAGTTTAGAGAAACAAGCCAGATGAGGTAACTGGATCTCATACTTTATGAATGATGCCAGAAGTGCTGCCTCAGCCCATCATTTCAGGGGTTAATGGCTTTTAGTAGTGACAAGAAGAACTCTGACCATGCGTGTCAGAGCGAGCGCATAACCAGACACGGCAGCGTGACTTCATCAGGGCAGAGCGGCACAAGGAGAGAGACGAGAGAGAGGGTCAAAAAGAGAGACGGGGTGACGGGAGGAGTCCTGTTTGGGGACATATGTCGCTAACAGTGAGTCATCTTTACACCACAAACAAATCCGATTTTTCTTTCCTGCCCCCAGCAACTCCTATAATTGACTCCTTTTGGACGCAGGTTCCATTTTGTGCCTTAGAAGATGAGACGGGTTTCTTTCTTTGTATTTCTCCCCTGGTTTCTCTTTCATCCTGTGAAGTATCTGCAGGAAGTGATGAACAGTGCTTTTTTTAAAAAAAAAAAAAAAGAATGGATGCTTATCTATTATTGAACAGCAGTCAGCAGGAGCTTTCGGATGCTAAAATAAATATGACAGCGCTGGAGAGATTTGCAGAGATCCTGAACTAAGCCCTTTCAGGCTCATAGGTTTCTGAGCTCTCGATTTAACAGGGAAGTAAAACTTGTGTGCTGGAAACGTGATAAATAACATGCTCCTTTTGTTGAACATTAGCATTTCAAATCAGGGGAATAAAACCTTTCATGTTTTTGGATACACACTCTTGACGGATGGCTGAAAGGAAAATCACTGTAATCACTTCTGAGTTTTTAAATCATTTTTATGCCTTTTGGCTTCCCTGATAAATCATTCCACAGACTCTGCATGTTGTTCTACCAGCTAAAGACACAATAAAGGAAACATGCTTCAGTTTCAGGGATTCATACACTTGGACATGATATCATGATTAATGTGGAATTGAACTTGCGTTCAGAAATACGACACGCTCTCTGGACAAGTTGTCAACTCGATGCGAGTCAAGAGAATTATTATTAGGACAATTTACCACGTTTCTGTTTTTCTGTCGCAAATGATGACGTTCATTTGAATCAATAAATCGAGATTTAAACCATTCAATAAGCTGAGATAAAACTTTACTGTCCACCGATAGACAGTTTTCTTCAGTTCTCCAACCATAAAATAAAACACAATATGAACAATTTGACCACATCCTGTCAGAAAGGTGTGTAATGTACTTTATAACATTAATGTTATCTGTGTGAGAGTTTTTGCATTAAATGTTAAAAGTGTTTAGCAGCTGTATTAAGCCTCACATCATCTTGGTGTCGGATGATTTGGAAACTAAATCCAGCCGGTAATCCTCAAACTGTTCCATTTGTTGTTTTTTCCAATAAATTAGTAACTATTTTAGTGCCAGGTGTTGAAAAGACAGAGAAGCAAAGCATTTTCCCCTGAAGAACTTCAGTCCTACAGTAAGATTAAACTGATGAGATTTTTAAAAAAAAAAGAAATGTCAGGGTTACTTAAGTCACTTCCTACATAGCTTCATAAATACTTTAATATTCACTCACTTTTTCATGCAGGTGGATGTATTATTCCGATCCGTCGTGAGTGTTGGCAATGCCAGCAACATTATAAACGACTGCTGTGTGTATTTCCATACTAATTTCATAATCAGTACATCTGAAGCAGCAGCTGAGGATGTATGTTTATCTGGGGCTCAGGTATGCTAATGCAATGCAAAGGCTTGGAAACCACAGAGAAGACGTTGTTTTTAACTCTGAAGGCCATCGTTTTACAGTGTAATTAAAGTGAAAATACTGTTTAAAAAGCCACCAATCTACCCAAAGGAAAACATACATTTAGCTTAAGGACAGACCATTGATATAATGTTTAGATAAATTACAAAAAATTCATTTAAAAGCAACATGTAAGCCTCAGTTAGCATGCTAAAGGCTAACGTGCAATGTGAAAAGACTGAAGAGTTTTAGTTTTTCTGTACAGTTGCTTGGCTAACAGTGGTTTGGTTTTGCAGTTAGTAAGTGGCCCACACACTCCTCTACACACCAACACAGCTTCATGCTGTCATCAGTCTGACAGCCAATGTTTGGTCAGACAAGCACCAGAGCTGACCAAGATTTCTGCACTGCAATAAATTAATACGTCTAGTTATTGTTGTGAAAGCATGTTGAAATGCACTTCTCAATTTTATGTTTAAATTAAAGACCTTCTGCTTACTTCCCTTTCTATCTGTACTTTCCGTATATTTCCAGCAAACACACCAGTTTCTCATTAACTAATTCCTTTTTATAAACATTTCCCAGCTTCACTTTGGAAGTCCTCCCTTAATTGTGTCTCATTGTTTTGAGATAAAAGCCAGATTCTAACATCTTTTTGTCTGGCATTGATTTCTAAGTTTGGTTGTGTTATGACTGCTCTAAACTGCTTTTATCTCCGTTTAGAGCAGTCTCTTTCAATCACGTCAGTTAGGACACAGTTTGTGGCAGCGGGTTTTTACGAACACACACAGAAATGTTGAAGTCAGAGAGCTAATCTGTGAGATGAAGAGACAAGAATGTTTGGATCTTTTAGCTTTAATCCTCATTGGAAACTGAAGTATTTATTTAAGAAACTTGCTGTGTGGACATGCACTGATCTGACAGCTCAGAGAAATCTTTCTGCGGCTTAATACTTTTCTTACTTTAACTTGAGATAAGAATTTTTTTTTCAGATACGCAAACATCACACTCCCCAACTGCTAATGAGCAAGTTGTCTTTTTTCCTGTTCCTCACAAAACCTTTTGTTTTTCTCAGTCTTGGGGATTTTAATGTTTTGATCAGTGAATTTCATTTAAATAATGATTGATATTTTATAGAAATAGATAAAATATTTTATGAGACAAGTGTAACTGTGATACAAATTTTTATATATATATATATATATATATATATATCTCAATGGGAACCAAAACTCAAGACTGTGCAGCTAAAAATGTCACTTTATCATTTTGTAGTCTTGGTTGTTTTAACACCCAAACAATTCCAGGTGAGAAAAGGGAGCATGTCACCGGAGAACATTTCATTTCAACCAAATGTCACCTCACACTGAGATAAATGGTATTTTATAACCATTTTTTATTTATTTTTTTTTTATGTCAACATGGCAGTCCTGGTTGTCTGCATGCATTTTTAGAAGAAATGTTGCTTTTGGGTTACAGGTTTAGGGTAAGGCGTGTGATGGTTGGGCTGTAGGAATGAACGCAAGTCAATACAAAGTCCTTGTGAAGATAGAAAGAGATACTGTTTGTGTAGCGTAGCATAGTTGTGTGTGCGCAAGTTGTAAGGATGTTACAATGATGAGGAGAGTAATAACCTCACTGCATTTGATTCCCATGGGGCCTATGGGCCCTAAAAGTCATGTCCTCTTGGCCCCCAAAGGCTCCAGCAGGCAGAGGTAACAGGTCGGCAGTGAAACCAGGCCAGAGACGTTCAGGGGAAGAGACAGACCTTAAAACCTGCCCCATGTTCCCCAGAGCAGGTGAACACTGGCAGCCAGGTGGCTGCAAAGCCTCCTGCAGCAGAGCAATCAGCATCAAGGAGGAGGAAACCTCCTGAGCGCCGGAAACCTGTCAGCCAGGCAACGGCTGACCACAGCCTCCAGGAGCAGTCAGGCGGGAGTCCAGACGTTCGGATACTGAGATAGATGTGAACGTATTATTCTGTGCTGACTAGATCTAACTGCGGTAAAGAACCGGGACTCTAGTGACACCTGGAGCGCTAATCGCTAAAGGCTCAAAAGGATCTGAGTTGAGTTGTATCTCAACTGAGATCTCTGCCATCTCAGTTGAGATACAACTGAGATGGCAGAGAGAGGAGAAAGACAGAATTTGTGCCGGCGGAGGTTGATGGCAGAGGGCGACAGAGATCATGACATAAAGACAAGATGTCTGACCGGCGGAGCTCCATGGAGTCAGACTCCAACCAGGAACCAGATCCGTTTCCAGTGACCCACAGGCTGCAACAGAATCCCAATACAAACACCTGCAATGAACAGCTAACAATACATGAATCATCCCTAATTTGACTGTGTTGCGTAAAAAACACTAATGTTTATGTGTGAATTGTGAAGAAAACCTCTTGAAAAACTGTTAGATTTCTGTTTCTGCTGTCAGAAACCTTTTATTCACATTCTGGACCAATTTCAGCTTTTCACTTTTTATTTGATTTCTTCCATCAAGCATCAGTTCACACCAAGAATCAAACATTCTTAATTATTTGCGAAATCCATTTTTATTCTAAAATACTAAATATACAATTTTTAAGATACAAATGTACATCTTGCAGTTTAATTATATTAAGAACTATACATTTTGCAGAGTGCTGTTATTTGTAACTTTAAGGTAATATAATAGTCTAACCTTGCTGAACTCGAACCTTTAGTGCTGTAAATTATCCCACTGAGGCAAATAGTTTGACCTTTAATTATTGCACTCCCTCATTTTGATTTCCAGTGACGCGACGTGTTAGTCACATTTACAGATCCTTGATAGAAGTTTTTTTCTGTACAATCAAGTCGGCTGTACAGCCTGATAAAGCGCCTTCATCCCTTTTGCTCTCCAGCTAACGAAGATTATCTAATCACTCTTTTAGTGCCATTTTAATTGTGTGGACCTTTAATGTGCAAACAGAAATCCTCAGTGGAGAAAGCACACAAAAAACAAAAGCATTTAAAAGAGGGAAGAGGGAAAAACAACAGAGCTGTAAATTTAAGTTCAAACGGGCATTTGGCCACAGCAGGAAAAAACACCTTCCTTAAAAAAGGATTTTTATGGTTTTCCTGCCCATTTGAAGTTTAAAATTAGGCAGTGACATGTTGCTTAAATCACTCTTGACCTCATCATGTCGCAGCAGCATAGTTAAAGCACCGGTCGGCTGATTTACAAGAGTTCATGAGGAACAACTCAGGAACTCTTTGCTAGAAAGGCGAATATTCATGTTGGAGAAATTCAGTCGACCAAAATCATGTTTGACCAACATTTTACAGCATTAAAACCTGAACTGGCTCCACTTGCTCAAAGCTTAATAACTTTGATAAAAAAAGAATCAAAGGAAACTTTAATGCTCAGCATAATCCAAATTAATGTTGTGTAAGATAAACGAATTTTCTCAATGTTAAGATAATAATGCCAATTCTCATGCATCTTTTTTTCTATTTTCCCATTAACTTCCATCTGTCCCCCCATATTTAACCTTCTCCTGTACCTTCCTCTCCCCCGTCACGTTTTCTGCCTCCCATTGTTTATTTTCTGCCCTGAAGCCTCTGAGGACTAAATTTAGCCGGTGATTCTTCTGGAGGGATCAGCGCCCGTGCTGCTTTCAGAGGATGCCCTCGGTGTTTGCAGGAAGCCGCTCGGTCTAATCTCATTTTTTACGGTGCGAGTCTCCTGTTGGAATATCTTTAAAGTTTACACATGGTGAAAGCAAAGTTGCACAACAATGCAAAGTGGAGGCTGAACTGGAGACATTTCGAAAAAGATTAACAAGAAACAAATGAGTTTTTAAAAAAAAAAAAAAAAAAAGCTTCTCTCCATTTATCTAGCTAGTTTTTGCATTGTCCAACTTTGTTTTCAACAATGCACACGAGGAAATGATGCAAATCATCTCTCTTTGCAGATATTTACATTTAATTACCTCATTCTTGGTAAACTGTGAAGGGCTTCTGCATTGTTCCTCCTTTTAGCCCAACATTCCTGTTTTTGGGTGTATGAGGGAGCCAAAGAAAGCTTCAGCTCTGCTGTGTAAGCTGCCTGTGAGCTAAAACCCACTGGAGGGGGTAAAACACTCCAGAATATTCCAGCAGGCGGATCTATGCAAGCTTTACCCAATTTCCTCCTGCAGGTTTTGTCAGTACTCTGTTTTTTATTCATTTTATTCACCACTGATTTAAGCCTTGAAGGGCCAGGAGAGCTTGCAGCCACACCTCTTTGTCATATACAGTACTTACACTGATCTCTGGAGCCTACCTTGATGTTTTGAAGATGATTGGTCAGCAATGCTGGTAGCGGCTTCCCTCGTGTGCTGGATTATTGATTAAGCAACTGGCAGAACTCTGTGTGGTCAGCAGTAAACTGGACATCACAGGAAACTTTCTTCAGAGTCCTGAAGAGCAAAGAGTTAATACCTTCAGAGCTCTGCTGGGATGAACTGTAACCGTTAATGTGACAAGTTGATTGCTGGAGTGAAGAACTTTTCTCTCTTGAAGTGAGGAGGATCTTTGGCAAGTTTGCACAAACTAAATTCCCAGATGCGTTTTGGTTGATGTTTGTGGTCTGGGTTTAACAGTCGATTGGAAATTAACTTTAATTTTAAGGTAAGCTCATGTCACGGACAATCTAGTCGCTCACAAACCACATTAATCAAATTCCATTTTCTATCACTTAGCTGCAGTTAATAGGTTTATGTCAGTTAAACTCCTCGTGTGTATTCATGGCAGCCATTAGCAATTTGCAATAGTTCCTGTGCTGTTAATCAGTTTCATGTGAACTGATGAAGCTCTCACTGCTCTGAATATTGCATTGCAGCAGACTCCACAGGCTGGCAGGTAATTGGTTTCTTTTATTGGCAAATTTAGGTTTTAAATGTGATTCATGTCCTTCACCCTGTGGGGTTTTTTTTTTTTTAGTTTGTGCGATTATTATTTTTTTTTAGCTCAGTGATATTATTAAATGCCTCTTATTCTCTGACCTGATCCATTCAAAATCATTTTCACAAACTGACATTTATAACGGCAGAATTAAAGTCAAAACCTTTTTTTTTAAACTTGCTCTCCCTCCCATAAATGATTAATTTACTCTTCTGTGTAAAAGAGGAAGTCATTAAGACGTTTTATTACCTTTCTCATTACTTTCCAGAACGCAGCTGTCATCTCTAGTCTACTGAGAAATATAATGTACACCAGATAAGGTGAAATCTAAGGTTTAATGCTGCCTGTGGTGGGGAATACTGAACACTGAATGAGGAGCGTTATCTGGGTCCTCATGTAAAGATATCCAGATGTGACGTTCTCTTTTTTTTTTCCTTCAGTGTCCTTTTGTTCTCACACAAACCACAGAAGTAATTTCAGGCTCATTTTCTTTCTCATTGAGGAAAACCCACCAATCTAAATGCAATGGCAGAAAAGCAGAGGCGAGGGAATTAAGGTGAAAATAATTCAGTGTTATCAAACTGAAATATGCTTGACGACTTTCTTCAAAGTTCAAAATTTATAAACACACATATTAGTCTGACATGGCTGTCAACAATTTTAGAAAACCCAAATGATTCACAACATGAATTAGAGCCGCACCGTCACTGTAAGTATAATGTGGGAATGTCCATCCAGCGTCCTGTTCAGGAAGTAGACGGGTCCCACGTTTCAAAGATGAAGATTTTGGTGTAAAATGTGCATCAACTGCAGAACAAAGGCAAAAACGCCTTATAATCATGCTGACTGAATGTTATAGTGTCATTATCCACAGAGAAATAATTCATCCAATTACACAGGATGAAGTGTATGATGGTTTATTAAAATCATTCTAGATAGAATAAAACGGAGTGGCCAAAAATCTCTGACATTTTGAGATTAAAGACATTTTCTAGAAAAGCATAGAAATACCTGAGCTCCAAAAGTCCAAACTAATTCTGAGTTTCGTCATCATCATGCGATCATAGGGTGAAATGTATGACAGAAATTTAAACTTTTTTTCTAGAACATTTTTAATCAACATTTCTGACGTTTTTGGTGGAAATTTACAGTTCTCAATTTTTTCCATCTCTAATGGCTCTAATCTGCTGTCGCAGAAATGCCACGGAGAGAGGAAGACGCCGTTCCCAAAGCAAAATATGAAATGCCATAATAGAGTTTTCAAATGCACACAGGGTAACGGAGGTGAAACTAAAACGAAAATGCTTGACTGTAACAAGTTGGAAAAGAAAAGGGTGAATGACACCAACCCAACTGTGACGAAGGGTGTTAGCCGCATAATTGTTTAGATGCCTTTCAATGCCACAGAAGAAATATGTGGTAACACTTGGAAAATGATGCTCTGACTTCCATCCAAGCTGACTGAGCTGAAAGTATTTTGTCAAAAATAATCAGTAAAGACTAATTGTTGAAAGCAATGGTTGCTACCAGATAAATGCATTTCAAATACCATCAAAAAACTAAAAATCTGTTGTCATCTGAAGCAACTAAAAAGTAACTTAAAAGATTTACTACAGGATGCAGATGAATCAGAAGCTGATATCATGGTGACTGTGTCTATTTTCTGAAAAATTAATGCAAAAAGCATCGTGCTTTTCTGAATAATGAATGCAGTTAAGATTAATTCAAAAGTGAATGAAGTTACTAACATCTGGAAACCTTTATTCTTACCTTAATCTCATCCTCTGCGTGTTAGAAAACTCAAAACAGTTCAGTTTGTCCTCTTTATTGACAATCAGTTCATTGTAAATGTAAGAGTCAAAAAGTCCACAGCTACAAACACACAATGTACAAACATGTTACTGTACACCGAACAACAGCACACCCACACGTCATGTTACAGCCACACAAAATGCACGTGTGTGCAAACTCCCCTTATATTACAGAGTTATATTACAGCAGAGTGGGACGCTCAACAGACGAGCCGCCAACAAGTGGAACAGCAATTGTAGGCAAACATAGAAAGGCAAAATACAATTAACCATTTTTTCTTTTTTTTTAAGAGAAATTTTACTTTACAGACATAAGAAGTATGGCAAGCAAGGAGAACAAAAATACATCAGCATGAGAAAATTAGAAATAGAAAACAGAGTCGTGTATAAGACAGTTTGAATTGAACTTAAATTTACAAAACATTTTAAAACTTAAACAGCAAAGTAATTCAATATTTTGTAAAATGAATTATTGTGTTCACAGTTTAGAAAACATAGTTCATACCTATATTTATTATTATAGCTTTTTGCAGTTTTAGAATATTTTAGTGATTAATGCTCGACAGTCGTGCTTGTGTCTTTGTGAAGCTGTACTAAAACTTAGATGTTATTATTTTTATCATATTGAGATTGTGCCATGAAGTACTAATTAGTTATAAAGAATATTTTATATTTATTGGATGAATAGGCATGCTGACATTTTCATTTGTTTTAAGCAAAAGAAAACAGTAAAATAACGTGTGAAAAACTCAAGAGGACAAAATAGGAATTACTAGCCTTATTGAGAGATGTATAAATCAAATTTAATTTTCTTTTTTAAAACTGTTAAAAAACACCCTATGGTCAAAACTCTGAGAAAAAAAATGCTTTCTTTTGGAGAGGATAAAGTCTTAAAATCTGTAAAATTAACATTTTTGTTTGTGCTGTGCATGAGTAAGTTTACTCTGATGAATCTAGACAGGAAATGCACCAGGAGGAAAAGCAGGTTGAGAGTTTTAAACACTTAAAATCAAAAACAAAACTGAAATACTGCAGGGGTTTCTGATAAAACAAAAAAAAAAAAAGGATATGTGCCAGTGTAGCTCAGGAGATACGAGTTCAAAATGTTTTTTTTTTCTTTTTAGAAGATTCCATCTAAAATAGAACGACTTCCTTTCCTTCAAACTGTTCAAAGCAGGCTGTGGGGATGTGGACTGGAAGCAGAGTAAACTGTTGGCATTAGGAGGAGAAGGTGGATGGGAACGCACAGACGGAAAGACAAAAAAGAAAGAGTAATCTCTCCACGCCCAGCCTCATTTTTATTCAAACAACTGGGCTTTGCCGCTCTCTTCTCCTTCCCTCCCACCTTTTTCAGTCTCTCCTCATCCTTGTCTCTTCTATTCCCTTTTTCCTCACATTATATCTAACCTTCTTTCGGTTCTAGTCTCAGTTGAGTAGCTAAAACAGCAGCCAGAACAGTCTAATAAGCTAAACACTTCAAATAAAAAGTTAAATCCATCCATAAGTATTTAGAGCAGACTGTTGTTGTTTTGTAGCTTTTTTTATTTTCGGATTTGAACTGTTGTTCCTTTTGGGGTTTTATCTAAAATATCTGCAGCAAATGTCAGGTTTAGCTGTCAGGCCATCTGAATCACACAGGGAGGGCTTTTTGTCTGCTGCTGCCATTCAGACAGGAAGTGAGAAACATCTTTCCTCGCGGTCCCCGCTGACAGTAATCCCAGCATACAAGGATGAATTGCAGTTGCATAAAATGTTGACATTTTACAAAGGAAAGGAGTTGAGGTCCTGCAAAAGATATCCACAGTAACTGCTTAGTTCCTGCCCGTACTTACAGAGTAGCAAGTTCAGCAAAAGCTCCGTAGCCGCAGAGCTGTTACATAATTACATCCTATATCACAAGCAGAGGATCTCATCTTTTGCTTTCATCTTAAAACAATAGATGTGCTCTAAATTCACGTCTCTGCACATTTTTATGAGACATTTCTCATTTTTTCTCCCCCTACAAACACAAACACACATGAGTGGTGTGATTTACATTCCTGCCAATGCTTCAGCGTTATTCCAGGTGGCAGTAACACGCCACAGAGCACAGCAATGAAACAGCAGAGGCAGGGAGCACTGCTGGGAAATTAAAGCATCCAATTGCCTGCGCATACTCAAAGCAGTCACTATGCAAAGCATTTATTAGTCCGCTATTATACTCAGAAGTAGTTCATCATGCAAACTCTACGTTTAGCGAGAGTAGCGTCCACAAAGTACCGGCCACCGAGTTCACCGTCCCAGAACGTCGCTCGTGTGTTTTGTCTTTAATATTCTCCTCCAGCTGATCTCATATGCAAAGTGTGTCATGCAGCAGCAGCAGTTGAGTCAAACATACAGCTTTGTAATACTGAACTAAAGTGATGCAGCAGATGGTTTTTCACAAGGAGCCATCTGGGAAGTTGGTGCTTGAAAGTGTTCGGAAATCGGTTTACAATTAAAAAAAAAACTTGCCAAGTGACGGGATGAAACAACCGTCTTTTGATTCTATCAGGAGGAATGTTCAACTCATCTAATTAGCAAAGAAGTGAGCAGAATTATGAATAATAAATCTTTCTCAACAAGATGATGACTTCAAACGAAGTTTTGACAAACTGTTTAGATATCCTGTGGTTTTTAGTAGAAGGTTTGAGACTCTTTCATGAGCTGCAACTTTGTCAACATGTCTAGCCCATCTTGTGCCCCCTGTTTGGCTCTTTTAAAGAAAATGCAAAAATCCATCATGTTTTTAAGGAGTTTTGGTAAGTCGTTACTGTTTCTACTCTTCTCAAAGAGAAACAGGCGCTCCCATGGGCCTATAGGGGTAAAAACCACATCGCTCATAACAAAATAAAAAACAAAAGAAATAAAATTACAAAAAAATCATAGTCTTCCAAAATGTCTTTTCAGGATCATTTGAGTCAGTTTAGGACTTAAGTCTTTGAAAAATGGATGGATGAACAGAAGGAAGTTCATTTGCATTTCTAAACATATTCACATTTAATTCCTTATTTTCTCCTATAATGTTCAACACGTCTATTATTCCATTGAGTTTTATGGATACCAGTAGATGCTTTTCCTTCTGTCTGTGTGAAGCAGGAATGGGTTGTAAACAGTGTGAAGTCGGCCATCACTGGTTGGACACTTTAAGACGTTTCTGAATCAATTTAGGTCATTTCTTTCTACAGTAAAAAGCCTAAACCAGTCAAAGTGACTGTATCACTTTACTGCTACTTATAAAATGCTAGCATTTAGAAAGCTCTATTTTTGATTCGTCACACCAACAACCTGCCTGAAGGTGCAAATGCAGCTCCAGTTCCCTTTGCTTTAACACAGACTGACTGAGGTTTGGAGGATGAATCCAAACAAAAGTCCAAATTTTAAACATTGAGCTCTGATGGTGAATTTATTTACTGCTTAAGAATACAGCGGTATGTATAAAAGGTTAAGAGGGCAAAAGAAAAACTAAACTCAGACTTAATGATCCAGTTCTCAACGGTCCAAGACAAAGAAAATGAATTTGTATGACAAATGTAAAGTTATAATAACAAACTTCAAAGATTGTGTTGACTTGTCTTTGCAGCTGTCATCCAGCTCAATGCATGCTGGGATTTTAGGTATTTTCTTATTAGTCCCTGATAATAAACACTCCATGCATTTTGATGCATAAACTGGGCTGTTCTTGTAATTTCTTCATTGCTCTATGAGAAAACTCGACACTATCAAATGATTTACAGCACATTCCTTTTAAAATAGGACAAAAATAACCTCACAATATTTCCTTTTGGTGGAAATATTGAAAAACTTCTCAAACGTGTATTTCAGCCTGCAGTAGACACAGCAGGAACCCAGACATCCAGTTATAATTACAGAGTGTTTCAGCTCTGCGTGCTTTAGGTCTTGTTTACATACAAACATTTAAACTAATCTCTTATTTTCACTGACATCAGTGTTTATGGATTTATCTTTTAAGAACGACTCAGGAACAAGACTGCAGTAAATGATCTATCTCTGAATAAAATACCCCAGTTTAGCTCTTCCTAGGTCTGCTTTAAACTTTTTGATTATTACTCTGACTGTGGATGTTTTGTTGTTTTCTGATTTATTTATGCCTGCTCTACTCGGATGACGTCGTGATGAAGTGACTGACAGGAAATCTTGTATTACTAATAAAATGTTTCTAAACACAGAGATCAATGAAAACGATTGATTTACATTTAAATTATGTTGAAGAAGTTGTTAGGTATGACAGTAACTTTAATCTAAATGCCAGACTTTTTCCAACTTAATAACTATTCTTAAAATAAAGGTTGGATTTTCTAACATTTCTCAGGGTGAAATTTTTAGCTGCTGCAATAAAAATCTGAATTTCTCTTTACTTTATTCATTTGTAACTTGTGGAGGGCATCAAGTCGTCACAGTCAAACTTAACACATGAACTTATATTCCTGTCATCTTTAGTTCACACTGACATGCTAACCAGTCAGACTTCCTGTAAAGCACACATCTAAAAGGAGATAAAAGTAACATAAGTGGTTTAAAGTGCCTGGAAACGCGTGTTTTATGATGCCCGTTTTCACAGCTTTCTTTTCTTGTGCGTGACATTTTTAGGCAGCATTCAGTTTGAGCTTTTAGCCACACTACTTGTCTCATTCTTTATTAAACCCCCTAGCTACTGCTGAGCCTGTTTTTCCACAGGCATCTATTTACAACTAATTATTCCTCTGAACCGCTGACGTGCTCCCAGTTGATCTCAATACTTCCTGATAAAATGTTCAATAAGCTGCCGTTGCCAGGCAACAAACGCAATTGCGGTTGCGCCGTGAGGACAGAGTATGAGTGAGGGGGGGAAAAAAAGTGGAAACTGAACATTTTTGGAGGTTCTGACATTCCAAAGTCACAATGTTCAGAAACAAAGAGGCCGAAGCAACAGGGAGCAGTGCTGAGAGACAAACACAGGCAGAGTTTGTGCTGGTGAGAGCAAACAGAGCCACTTCCTGTCGCTGTGAATCGGGGCTCGCAGCCGATGACGAGTAAAATCCTAACACCCAATCAGAGCAACTGAAGGGTAATCCTTGAGATGCCGGAGGTTTGGGTTGGAGACTGCAGTTGTTTCACAGCTGGTAATCCGCTCCGTGCTGAGATAAAAGCACTTCTTCTCCACAATAAGATCAGGCCTCGTTCACAAGAGAATCAAACATCTCATTAACGACTGAAACGGGACAAACAATCAGCACATGTACCGGCTGCATTATCTTCACTGTAGCAAATCAATTCTGTGTGTGTTAAAAAAGTTGCTGTCCGCAGATGAGAACACAAATAGGTCGCTTGACCCTATTTGATCTACAAACTACTCCAACAGTTTTAATCAGAGGCGTCAGTGTTGAACAAACTCTGATAACAAAGACGTGTCCAACAGCCTTTAAATGGAAAAAAAAAAGGATGCAGGAAGTGTAGCCAGACTGCCTGCTGCAGGAGGAAGATTTCCATCTGGATTCCAGCCACACACTTTAGACAGAGCTGAGATTTGTCATGGACAGAAGATGAACGCCAGATTTCTGGTTGGTTCATGCACTGCATTAACACTTGACTGGCTTTCAGATTTAGGATCTGCAGCCAAAACACACGAACATGGGAACACAATACCTCCTCTGAGATATCGTGGACGGCTCTTATTGTCTCACTTCACACCCTCAGTCCTTTAAGCTGCTTTCTTCCTCCACACCTCAGGATATAGCAGGTAATTGATTTACTTTGTAGGTGGGAAATCAATGCCTGAGCTTATGCAGGCGCATAACAATGAATTAGAATATTATAAACAAATCGATGCAGGTCAATGCCTTAATTCAAAAAGTGATAGATCATGTATCATGTATTAACTATTCATTTCATGGAGTGATACATTTCCAGCATCTTCAGTTAATTTTAATAATTATGACCAATAACTGTAAATCCAGTATTCAGTTTCTCTGAAGATGTAAATATTCTGTAAGTAAGTAAGTAAAAAAAAAAAAAAAAAGAAAAAAGATTTTTCATTCAGAAATCAAATGGTTTGGCCATGAAATTTATATAAAATCATAAATATCGTATGAAAATCACATCTTCCTGCTACATTCACCACATTTCATCAGGACAGCATTTCTGCACTGACAGTCAGTTTATGTAGGTTTTGTATGATATTGTAGCTCATTAGCTGTTAGCCACAAGCATTAAAATTTAAATAAAATATCAGATTACTTTGTGTTTAATGCAGGTATATCATATGTTCAGGTCAAACTTTCCACAATACATTGACATGTGCCTTTATGCATGTTGTCATCCAGCCGTACCGTCATATTTACTTTCCCTCTCGGGACGTTGATGCGACCCAAAAACATCCATTAAAAGTGTGAATTATGTATTTTATGTGGGCCATCTGTCTGAGCACTGGGAAGTGTTTGTTGTCTCCAGTCAACAACACTTTAGAGTTTACACTATAGTGACGAATAAAATGGAAAGTAAATCACCAAAAGATCACAAATACTCCAGTAACGTTGCAAAGGCTTAAGTAAATGAACAACGAGGGAAGAAATTCCCAAATAACGATATTTACTAACTCTTCAATGTGAAGATCGATTCAAAAAGGTCCCATTTAAACAGTCCAGATTCAAATGGTTGTAGTTTTCACAGACACAATGAAATAAATACTCACAACACAACATGCTGGAAACAAGAAGGCCTGCTGTCGCTCCTGCATCCAGAAACATTTTCTGACAGGCTTTTGGTCCAGTTTGTCCATTCACACAAACATCTCCTCAGCTAGTTTCTTCTTACAGTGCAGTTTCTTAGTTTGATTCATCCTCAAATAAAAAAAAACACACCCTGTCCTCCTTAAACGATTGAGTTTGATGAAAATGGCTTGTGGAGCGAAGGGGCTGAAGTCAAAGTTATCCTGCAAGCAGAATTTGGGGTTTTTCTTCTTTCCTTTCAGGAGATAACCTTCAGATCAGACAGTCGTTTTCTTTCTCCACAGTGTTGCTCTTCGCTGTCTTCAGTCTGGTCAACAAATAAAACCTGTACAGAAAATTTCCAGAGGGGTGGGATTCCAACGTCAGAGGCTAAATACCGTAAGAAATATCTCCACTGATTGCAAGATCATTAATGGAGTCTTTAAAATGGGTTTTTAATGATTGTGAAGGAAAATAACAGATCTTCAGAATAAGTAAACTTGTGAGAAAGAAGTCTGTTCGCTCACAGACTCAAATATATCAAAGTGTTTCTTCACCCATGGCTACACAGATTCAGTGGGGGACTGGTCATCAGTGTGGTGCCTCATCGACTGAACGCTGGTCAGGATTTTCCTCTGGTGTCCTGCAAGAGACACTCCAATCCTCTCCAGATCCCTGTGAAAACAAAGAAACAAATATATCTCACCAGGATCTGTGGTCATTTATCATGATCCCTGCTGGTGCTGGAGGGGAAAACGCCAGCACACTGATGGCAGGCTTTGCAAAAGTACACACTTAAACTAATCAAACCTGGACTGGACAATCCTACAAAGAGCTGCACAATATACCACAAATATATTATCGTCGTATTATCAGAATCAGAATTCCTTTTACTGTCACCGTGCACGAAAGAAAGCAGAGAGAAGTGCAAAGAAATAGCAACTCTTAAAAGCAAGTCAAATAATTGAAAAAATAGTAAATATGTAAGACTGAATAAATATAAAAATATAGTAGAAACACCGAAACAATTGGAATTTTAAGGAATAAAATACATACATAAACGATGATCAGGTTTCAGATGAATTAACACACAGCAGCTTTTGGGTAGAATTTGTTTTTTTATTCTGTTTGTTCTGTTCAGACAGCAAAGGACGGTTTGGACGACACAGTATGGGTGGATTGATCCAAAATACTGATAAGATCAATACTAAGTCAGTATAAGTATTGAATCAATATTGGTGTGGTGTGATCAATGATTAGTTTCATGTTTTGTTTGTTTAGTTTTGTATTGTAGTTTTTCTTTTAACTCCACTTCAAAAAAGGATTTTGTTTTGATTTGCTCTCAAATGATTTATCAAGGGAAAATGTGCACACTTCAGCCATGACAGCAACATTATTTTGATCAAATTTCAATATTGGTCCAAATTTTCGTATCGGTCCACCCCTAATATTTACCAATATTATTACCATTGCAAGATTTGATCATTTTGTGCAGCTCAAACTCTTCACACAATTTACTTTACAAAAGAAATGCACATAAAATGACTATTTTTGTATCAGGATCCTATAAGATGTGATTGTATTTTAATAATATGTATATTATTCATGACTTCAGAGTGGTTTTTAAATAATGTCTTGGATCAGAATGTGCTCAAATATCAAGTTTAATATACTAAAAAAGCCAAAAGTGACTGCATGGCCACACATCCCATGTAGATTGTCCCATATACCCATTGCGTTATATTACCTATAAAACTGTAACATGAGGAGCCGTTTTAAAATCTAATTAAATATACATGCAGTGCTGAATTTATGATGCAAAGAGACCAAATTAAAAACCCAAGAAATGTGAGTTCAGGCGGGTCGCCGTCCGTTTCTTCTCTGAGGAAGTTGTTCATCCTGCATGAAATGTGAATCAGAGTTCACCGGTTCATATACCTGCACGGTGCCTTCTTCACATTTTAGCATATATTTAATTAGTCCCTTTGGGTAAATTTCCTCTCTGTATTCAGAATACTTCAGGTTCAGAGGGCATCAGTGCAGTATAGGCGCACCAGAGGAAAGTCTGACATTGATGTCGCTTATTGCGTTTAGACATCAGCAGCTGGAAAGTTGCACCGCGATGCGTGTTGCAATTATTTAACATAGTTATACAATTTAAAGGCGCATGCAATGAGAACGACAGGCGAGAAGTGAAAGCAGTTAGGTCAGACATACTCAGCTGTGATTTGTGTGACCAGGGGCAAAGATGTGAACCCCGATCCGATGAAGGAGTCTCTATACTGGGTCATCTTCAGAGCAGCCAGCCAGTCCTCCACCGAGCTCACCCTGCTCAGGTCCGGAGCTCCCCGGTCTAACAAAGGATGATGGGAAGGACTGCAGGGAGCAGAAACAAGGAACCACAGGGATGATTACAATCTCAACTGTATCACAAACAGAGAATGTTTGGGTATGGAAATGAGTTAATATCTCTGTTCACCCAGGAGCCATGTTGCTGGTGCCGGCTTTGAGAGACGCAGGGTTGCGGATCATTTTGTCCAACATGCTGACAATGTCAGAGAACTTTGGCCTTGCATTTCTGTCTTTCTGCCAGCAATCCAGCATCAGCTGGTGCAGCACCACCGGGCAGTCCATGGGAGCTGGCAGTCTGAAGTCCTGCTCTATGGCGTTTATTACCTGGAACGCAGCAGAACGGAGAAGCAGGTGGATTTACACTGGAGCAAAAGGTAAATCTGTCCAAAAGTGAAGTCACAGAGTTTCATCTTTTGAAGAATGAATGCTGTGTTCTTGATCCTTAAAAAGTGCTTTATAAATAAATTGACATCAACAATAATTGGGTATTTTTCTGTGGAAGATAACAGAAAATGTGTCTATTTATGGGTTAAAATATAAATGCAGCCTGGGAAGATAAAAAATTCCTCATATTTTAGATTTAGTATTTGCAAAGCAGCAAACCCAGAAGAGCCATTCATTTTCCTTGCTGCTGATTGGCTGTAAACCCCAATAGAGGAATTAAAGAAGACTGAGGATGCTAGCTGCTGTGTCAAATTGGTTCCCATATTTGTATTAATACACATTAAGGCATATATGCTGTTTGACCTATTAAGTATTTTTAGTGGTGGTCTCAGGTAAATTTCAGCTTTTCACTATTAATGATAATTCTCAGTCATTTATCTCCCAGACCAACCCAGCTACATCGTAATCTTGTGACATTTTGTTGGTTAATTTGGTGATATAGTCAAAGAAAATTCTTCTGCTGTCAATTTTGATGTAGACAATGTTGTCAAACTCATTATCCACAATCTTTTTACAAAAAAACAATGATATGCAACACAGACATCAGCATTACGACCTGATATGAGGATACTCTGGATTTTCACAGTAACAGAAATAAAGAAGTCAGATAATGAGAGAAGAAAGATAATATCTTTGTCAAAACACAAATAAATTCCAACATTGGTTTGTTTCAATATATTCAAATATTCAGTGAATGTTTATTGCTGTAATAAGTAACTGAATAACAGTTGTGGTTGTTCTATGAAAATCTGCTGCAGTGATAAAGTAGCTGTTCCTTTTTATTATTTTCTACGCATCTGCTACTTTCCAGGTGGTAATGAATAAAACTATGAAAAAAATGGCACCACAGGACATGGACCACCATTCTTCCTATGCTAAAATCTTAAAAGAGAGAAATATATGTTAAACACAATGGCTCTATTTCAGCAAAATCAAACTTCCAAAGATAGAGACTGGAGAAATGCCTACTTCACTCAGTCCCTCCCTCCTCTCAGCTTTGCTACAAATCTACATTTATATAATATCTGAACTTAAAAAATGCCTAAATGTTTCATCCTACATACTCAGCAGCACAGAGTCATTCTGAGGATCAAAGAGACAAGCTGCATGGTGCCGTCATGAAAGCTCAAGAGGAGAGAAAAACTGCTTCCTGTTAAAGTCATATAACAAGATTTCATTTAGCACTTCTGTGATCACTTCTCTTCATCTGCACTACTGAATAAACACCCACATGCAGCAAGCCCCAAAACAAAATACAGTATTTAAGGGGGCGTAATAATTTCAGAGGGCAAAATAACAAAGAGACAAACTTTACAACTTGGGTTTTGTGCAACAAGTGAATGGAGGCAGTTAAATAACTGGAGGAATTTATTATTCCTGCACAGATGTTCACCGACTATAAACAATTCAAAGTCATGTTGCTCAGTTTAAGATATAAGTGGAGAAATAAAAACAGCAGAAATGTTGCAGTCCTAAATGAGGCATCCCATCATGGTGGCTTAAGGGCAAAACTGGGCTGGATGTGCTGATCAGAAGTACATTATTTGAGTTAGCCTTGTGTAAAAATTAGCAAACAGTTCATAATTTTCATCTGGGCGGTCACAAATTTTATCCTGATATTTATCTGTAAACATTAAAAACATCAAAGTATAAATTACCATCTGAAATCAGTGTACGTCAGGAACATGACATGATTTAAATGATTCACAAAAACAATTAAAGTTATGGATGCAATGCTTGTCAAATCTACTCAAATATATTCTAATGGCTTAAAATCCACCAGTTTATGAGTTAATTACTGTACAGATGTCGGATAACATTTCTGGCAGTTTTCTCACACCCCATTTATTACCATCTGTCTTGTCTATTCAGAACCCTGATGCTTTTCTACATGAATTGCAAAATGTTGCCTCCAGAAAAACAGCATTTTCTTTAAAGTTCGATTAATAAAATGTTAAATTATAAGGGTACGGATCGCTTTTAGAGCCAAACATCACCTGAAGATTTAGTGAACTGTAAACTTGTGAAAGGATGTAGAACATCTAATCAGAATACTTGAGAGTAATCAAAGTTTTATCATTCATATTGCTGTAACTTTAAGATGAAATAACAGATGCCATGAACTACGACAGCTTCCAAAAAAAATAGTGTTTCATCAAAATTAACAGCAAAAATAAAAACCTAAAGCACACAGAAAGCTAAGATATACAAACTACATACTTTCTGCTATTGAACTGTCAAAATAGGCCGTCTTGTAAAAAAAATGGCAAATAAATGAAGTGTTTCCAAAATTACTTATTGTTTCCAAACTGTGAGTAATTGAGATGAATGATTGTAATTTAAATGTTGACCAAAAGTATTAATAAGTGTAATTTATTTCATAATTGATCATAAAACATGAGTAAGTGTCCAGCCTCTGTTTAAACAGAGCTACGTTCTGCTACCGTTTTCCTTCTGGTCCATATTTTACAGATGAGACTCATATTGATAAATCAACTCTTTCTTCACCAGAGCAATGCCTGCATCACTGTAAAATAAAAATATGTATATTTTTATGATTTTTGTGCTGTTGTTTTGACATTCCTGCCAGCTGCAGGCTGTTTTCACTTATTCCAACCATTTTTCATGTTTCTCCCTGAATCTACTGTTAATTTGTTGATGTCGCCTTTTCATCGTGTCTTTTTTCCTTCCCGTCATCCTGCCAAAATGCTCCAGTCTGTTGCCTTGTTCCCCGTCTACCTCAGTTCATGACCTCTGCCACTTTTTAGACTTTTGCTTGTCAGCTTGTTTCCACAGCAGACTTCTCAGAGACTCCTGTGATTTGATTGACCTTGTAAACCGTTTAGCTGCTTTGGTCTCACCTGCAGCCAAAGTCTAACCACTTCCAACATCGGCCCACTTTCAAATCTGGTGCTTACTCTTCTGCAACCATTTAGCCATAAAATCGCAAGACGGAAACATGAGTGCCGTTTTATTTTCCTGACTTTCTGCAGATTAAATGTAACAAGTATGCATGCATGTGTCTGTGAGCTATAAAAAGGTGGCACCTGTACAGTCGTCTTGCTGGGGATTTGACTGCTTCCAAGGTGAACTCCAGTTGACCCTGACACACTTCTTAGGCTTTGTAATGCATAAATTCACTCCATGCCAATCAAAATAGAAGCAAGTGTAGTAAAACATCACAGGTCTCTTTCATGATTAATTCATGTCGAACACTGCACCTGCAGTGGCCCTGCTGACAATTTCACTCCTCTGTGTTCTTTGAAATCATGTGTGTGTGTGCACGTTCCTTTACACATGTCGGCCTGTGTGTGTGTGTGTGTGTGTGTGTGTGTGTGTGGTTCGGCTGAAAGCGAGTCTGAATGTGTGATAAGTGTGAGCTCAGGGTGTCAGCTCCATGCATAGTTAATGCCCCCGCAGACCCTCGTTAGCTGTACTGGAAACACACACTCTTCCCCATCATTATACGCAGACTGTTCCATTATGAATCCGTCTCTGTCATTACACTGAATTTCTCTCATTACGGCTCTAGAGAAGCTGCGGCTCGGGGAAGAGCGGAGGAGGCGCGACGGGAGGAGAACAGAAAAGGCAGGGAGGAGTCAAGATCCGGAGGAGAGACGGAGGAATCACAGGAAGTTGACTTTATTTAAGAATCTTTTACAAAAAATTTCGTCCTGCTGTTGAAATGTTAGAAGACGATGCTACAGATAAACTCTTTCATGGAAAGAGTTTATCTGTAAATAAAAAGAGGGCCAAAACTCATCTTTTAAAATCCTTAAAATTCATAAAGCTGAGCTACTTTGTGTTTCTCTAAAACAAGAAATAAATCCACAAAACTTTTTTTTGAAGTTTGTTACATTACAAAACGGGAAAAAGTTCCAGATATATTATCTTGCAGATCTCTGTAATTTCACAACAAGACTGTTTACAAGCAAAATACAAACAAACTACAGGGGGTTGAAGCTTTTGCACACTATGATAGACAGAAAACTTCAACTGATTGGGAGTGGTGGTTTGAAAAGTATCATCAGCTGAGATGAAACATGGCTAAATGTTTGGTTCAAAATGCTTTGGACACGTTTCCCAGGAATAAACCATGAGGCGGCCAGTTGCTGAAGCATCACCGAGTCTGCAGTAATTAAATGCCAATTTGCTGAATAAAAAGTTACATGTTAGGGTTGAACACATTTATTCTGATTAATTAATTACAACAAAAATAAAGCATAACCCCTCAACCCTTCATACTAAGTTTGCATCTGATGTGACTGCATAAATTCCTGCATATTTATTTATTTATTCAGCCAAAATGCGTTTGAATTAAAAACCGTTAACGCCAGAGAACATCGGCATCCAGATGAGGTGAGAGGGGCAAACAATGTGTCACTGTTGCTATGCCAACATACTTTTAATAAAGAAAGTTTTTCTCAATTTACAATATTGCCTTTTAGTTCATTATTCAGCATTCAGAGTGGAGGGTGAGGCGTTAAGAAAATACATTTACTATAGAGGACATAAAAATCACATTTCCATTAAAATGCAGCGACCGTGAAGAGTGACAAAGAGAGGAGTTGAACATTTCTGAATGCAGAACTAAATGAAAGAAGTATGAAGAGAATACAGAGAATTAAAGAGTACAAAGTGCAACAGGACCTACAATTAATGCAGCTGCATTAAGACGTTCTGAATGTTACTGCATCTGGATCTTTACTTGCGTCAAATATTTGATAAAGTAGGATAAAATGTGATTATTCAATTGAAAGACTCTTGTTTATTAGACTGATTTTAATCACATCCCACTACCAGTAAAGTAAGACATATTTAATACATTTGAATGAAACTTAAAACTTGATTTGCCCGAGTAATTAACTGAGTGAAACACATTCTAAATGCATTATTTACACACACAGAGGATTTAGGCCTTTCTTTCTGTTGATTATAATCGTTTTCCACTTACAGTCGATCAAAACAACCTTCAAGATTAGAACATTAAATCAAACCGCTAAAACGTTCAATACAGAAATGTAAAGTATGT